CCAGTTGGCCTCAGCCCATCGCTCCAGCCTGTCCAGGTCTCTCTGCAGAGCCTCCCTACCCTCGAGCAGATCAACACTCCTGCCCAACTTGGTGTCATCTGCAAACTGACTGAGGGTGCACTCAATCCCCTTGTCTAGATCATCAATAAAGATGTTAAACAGGAGTGGCCCCAAAACCTAGCCCTGGGGGACACCACTTGTGACCGGCCGCCAGCTGGATTTAACTCCATTCACCACAACTCTTTGGGCCTGGCTATCCAGCCAGTTTTTTACCCAGTGAAGTGTCTGCCTATCCAAGCTGCAAGCAGCCAGTTCTCCAGGAAAATGCTGTGGGAAATGGTGTCAAAGGCCTTACTGAAGTCAAGGTAGACAACATCCACAGCCTTTCCCTCATTTAATAAGCAGGTCGCCCTGTCGTAGAAGGAGATCAGGTTTGTCAAGCAGGACCTGCCTTTCATAAACCAATGCTGACTGGGCCTGATGACCTGGTTGTCCCACATGTGTTGTATGATGGTGTTTAGGATGAGCTGCTCCATCAGCTTCCCAGGTACAGAAGTCAAGCTGGCATGCCTGTAATTTCCCAGATCATCCTTCTGACCCTTCTTATAGATGGGCATCACATTGGCCAATTTACAATGGTCGGGACCTCCCTGGTCAGCCAGGACTGCTGGTAAATGATGGAAAGGGGCTTGGCGAGCACCCCAGTCAGCTCCTTCAGCACCCTCGGGTGCATGCCATCCAGTCCCATAGACTTGTGTGTGTCGATGTGATGCAGCAGGTGACTAACTCTCTCCTCCTGGAATGTGGGGGGGTCGTTCTCCCAGTCTTTGTTTTCTGGCTGAGGAGGCTGGGTTCCCTCAGTACAACTAGTCTTGCTATTAAAGACTGAGGCAAAGAAGGCATTAAGCACCTCAGCCTTCTCCTCATCACTTGTTACCGTGTTTCCTCCTGTGTCTAGCAGGGGATAGAGACTCTCTCTGGTCTTTCTTTTGCTACTGACATACTTATAGAAACATTTCTTGTTATCCTTGACGGCTGAAGCCAGGTTAATTTACAGCTGGGTTTTAGACCTCCTGATTTTCACCCTGCATAGCCCGTCAGCATCTTTGTAGTCATTGTGAGTTGCTAGCCCCTTCTTCCAAAAGCTGTAAACTCTCCTTTTCTACCTGAGTCCTAGGATATCCTTTCCTTATGGGGTATGTATGAATAATATTAAAGGCATAGACTCAAAAGGAATAGTGTAAGTTGTAGTGTGCACAGCTAGGAAAATTACTATTATATCAGCTATTTGAATCGTCAAAGTCTTAGCATCATGAAAAACAGGTATGTTGGCGTTATTTTTTTGCCGTCAGTTACATCTTTCCTTCCCCTGCTGAAGCACAGCATTCGCATCTGCAGTTGTGTATCTTTGGATTAAGAACAATTCCTGAATGCATATAATTAAGAACATATTATTCTTTGCATCTTTGCTGCTGAACCCCCAACACCAATCACCTTAAACATTTCTGTTAATGATTTTGCAGAATCAAACCCTATGCGTTCAGAAATCTTGTGCAACCTTCAGGCAGGAATTATTCAGAGTCCTCTGTGGGTTGTTTTATTGCTCAGGACAGAACAACTGAGGACTCTGGAGCTGAAAATCCCTGTAGCATTTCTGAAATAAAGATCAGATTTGACTGCCCTTTGTGATTGTTGATGCTCTTATTGGTCTTAAATCTCTGGCATGTATTTGTGATTGAAAAGTGTCTCCTAGAAGTGAAGCTAGAACAGAAAGAGATCTTTAGAAAATGCTTTATTAAAAAAAAACCAAACCAAACCAAACCAAACCAAAACCACAACAATCACCCATAAAGTTTTCTCACTGATTTTAGTGAGACAATTTTGACAGCATCAGACAGAGTGGATAATGTTACAATAACTAAAGCATGAACAGATTTAAAGTTTTACTTAGTTGTTTTCAGGGTATCTCCAAACAATTCTTAAAGCAGAAAGGAAATATTTAGTTCAATGACTATAGGCAGAAGGCAAATTTGGCTCCTTTTTCTATTTTTAACAGCTCTGCTTCTGATAATACCAGTTGTTGCATCAAAGGTAGAAAAACTATGAAGGTGGGAAATCGATTAACAAATTGATTAACAAATATGATTAACAAAGACAAATCTCTAGTTTACTGTAGCTCAGTGTCAGCCCAGTGCAGAGGCTCACATCCTGGACATTAACCCTTCTGAGGACAGACCATATCAATATTCTGCTATAACTTAATTATACATACGTATTTCAGCCATTATATAGTCAAGTATAGAATATACATATATACATTTATACATAAAAGTAGTAATATGAAGAGTGAAGATTAGATACAGCCACCATTGAACTGTACCTAGTATTTAGGCATAATGAAGACTGATTTTAAGATTTCCTCAGTGTCTTTTCAGGCATTATAATATTTGCTCTTCTTTGTACTAGAAGACAGGTACAATTGCCCTTTAGCTGGGTGACCTGTAGATTTATAAAATATTAAGCAACTGCTTAAATCTAGTAAAAATATAAACATAAGCAGTTATGTTTATACTTTCATACTATTATTATTAATAATTATTATAATTATTATTTCCATGTTGGTACCACCTCAGACCCCAAAGGGGACTAGAGGCTCATAATTTCATTGCATCTGGATTTTACCAACCCAAAATAAGATATACCTAACCAAAAGAGCTTAAAAGTGGTATATAAACAATATAGATGCTACTAGAGGAAAAAGGGAAGCAATTTGCCCCTAGTCAAAATGAAGGTCACTGGTAGATGTGGAATTTGCCTCTTGGGTTGTTGATCTATGAAAACACAGTGCTTCTCAATTTTGCTGAATCTTTTACAGTTCCTTTAAATAGCACATTGTACATGTTACATAAAAAGGAAATATGCAGATAACTTGGAAGCGTAAATTCAAGAGGCAAGGTGAAATAGTTGCCTCGCAGAGCCCATCTATTTTAAAATGATGACTCTGAACAAGTGTATGATGACAATTATTTTTAATTTTATTCTGTTGAGTAGAAAGCTGCTGTGCGTGGACTCATCACTGCAAGTGCTTATACCATTAACAAGATGCGTTCTCCTACTTGCTTGATTTTCACACAGATAGCTACTGACTGCAACAACTGGGCTGCTATTAAAGTATATCAAATAGCTCCCAATTTCTTCACTTTAAACCAAGTACTTTTTTTTCCCCCCACTCTGACTTAACAGGAAAATTGGAAAATGTTTAAGCAAGTGATGTTAATAGACCCCCATTTGGTACTTACATCATATATTAACATATCAAACACAGTTTAACATTCAAAATATCTCCTGTCTGGCAGCCGGGAAATTATGCCATAATGTTAATGTACATGCCCTTATTAAATTTTGCCTCTATAATAGACAATCTGTTATAATGTAAAGGGAACAGAGATATATCACAGATATTGCAACACAGACTAGCCCTGCAAAGATAAAATTTCCAATACGCATACTTATGAAGCTACTATCTGAATATCTGCATTTTGAAAATCTTTATTGAATAACTTTATTTCTTCTGCAAATAAACCAAGGACTCAATAAGCAGTTACAGGCAGGGAGAGCAGGCACCTGGGAAAACGAGACAGGAAGCAAGGTGAAGAACAAGCAATAAGTGCTATGTGCATGATCAGTGTAAGCCAGTGTAAAATCACATGAAATCTGGGGGCAATCCTGCCTCCCTTCTGCCTGCAGCCATCTCTTCCCACTATCTCACACTTGCTTGGACCTGGTGAGGCAAATCTGTTCACTGACTCAATGATTTAAATTTAACTCTGGAGTGGAAAAAATTGCTTTCCGCCAACTCATGCGACTCACTACACATCTGCACAGTTATTTTAACCACCCAGGGAAAAAAAGTGAGATGACACAGCCAAGGGAGCAGTGTGTGGAAAAAAGAAGAAGCTGCCTGTACACAGCAGTACCAAATCCATCACCTGAAGCTGGTTGTGAAACTCCACTGTAAGGAAATGCAGTAAATTTTAAGAAAGTCCCCAAAGAAACAGGCTGAAACTTAAAATTTATGTTTTCCATGTTTAAAGTAGTTTAAAACAGTAAAAAAAAAACAAAACCAAAAAACCAACCACAAAACAAAAAAAACACCCCATATTTCCTATAACTATTTTTTTTCAATTTTATTTTTAAATTCAAAGCAAAATATTTATTTATATTGAATTGAAACTGTCCTTACAAATCCAACCCTGAGAAACTTTACTACATTCCCACTTCTGCAGTTTGTGGAGCTCCCTGAGATGCAAACATCAGAAACAAGCATCCATGTTGCCTATGCTATCAGCATGATAGTATTCCTCTGGAGCCACAACACTTGGGAGCTGTGGAGTCATATGCTTCTTCAGCTGGCAGGAATGCCAGGAAGCTGCACAGGTCGCAAGCAGAATTTCCCTGAAAGCCACTTATACATTTTTATATATAAATGTATATTATCTGAGACCTACATGGCAATCTGAACAAGGAGAATCCAACCATACTGGAAGAGATGGAGAAAAATAAATAGTTCAAATATATGAACAAACCTGAGCAGTCTTGAACAAACTTTCACACTTGAACTTTAATTTCTCTTGCTCTAAAGAAATTAAAAAAAAAATTAAAAAAAAAAAAAAATGACACTTCCTTAACAAGAAAAAGAAAATTGTCCATTTGATATAGAGATCAGTAATGGAGACCACTAGAAAAATGTGGAAGAAGAAAGCTTTAGAGAAAAAGCTCAGCTCCTGATTACTGAGGTCTTTGTGCCTTGTGTGCCCAATTTCACTTGGGCATAGCAGGCAGGCTGGGGCTCTTGCTAATCCAGCCAGCACAATAAGAACAGTCAAAACAACTGCAAGGTCAAAAATAAAAAACACCAGGCAAAATATCTGTGCCAAGAAAGAGAGAAAAAAAATAAATTAAAATACATAGAGATTAAATTGAGGACAAAGAACTGAAAGGCTGGGGTTTCAACCCCAAGCCCCAAATTAAGGTTAACATATGGGTGATTCCCACAGCCCTTCACAAAGTGGGGGTGAGTTTCCATTTAGGCTTCCATCCAGGGTGGGCTGACCTTGCATTGAGAGCCATGGGGTAAATGAGCCCCAGGTGTCTGCATTAAGTAAACAAGGCTCAGGTGTCCCACTTAGGGATAAAAGCTGGGACCACTTGCAGGGAGGGGAAGTGTCTGCTTGTGAGGTGGATGTACTTTGCAGTTTCCTGTTGGGGAAGGAGCTCCTGCCTCCCTGGAGCTAGGCTCCAGTTAGGTCTGGTTTTTGTAAGCAGGGGCTGTGTAGCGGTTCAGTATGTGGCTTCCTTGGTCTTATGTATTTGGTTTGTTGACTCAGTTGTCTCCTGTCTTTTTTATGAGAGACTGCATTTCTCCATTTATTCTGCCATTGTTGGTTGTGTGGTGGTGTTGTTGGTGTCAGTGGGATTGATGTAAATTATGTATAATCTGACTGATTTTTTTGTACCCCCAGTGCTCACCTATGTACTGACCCTTTTGTATCAAATACAATTTGGTTATTGGTTCATCTTTATGCTAGGCCTAATAATTGGCAAAACAAGAATGTGAATGTAATAAAAAGCTTAATGAAAATTCTAGTGGAAAATTTTTCTTACTCAGTCCAACAAATAAAGTGAGATTTTTTAACTGTAAATATTTTGTTTGGGTTATGCTGGACAACAGAGCTGGTCCACCCCTCCCATTACTTGCTTTTTCTGACTCTACCTGAATAAGATGACTTTACCCCCACCTCCCCTTTCCCCCCTTTTTTTCTTCCCCCCCACCCCCTTCTGTTGCCTCCTCAAAACTACCCAGTCCTGGTTCTCCTGGACCTTTGTTTCCATCGTGGTCCTGGTCCACCACTATCACCTTCTCTGTCATCATTCATCCCTGCTGCCACAAGGTATCAAAGTACCAAGCTGATTGCCTTTGCTATGGGTTGATATCACAAAAGCCAGCACGTGAGGTAGCACCCATGAATGTGGGGTCAGCTGCATTGTGCTCCATCTGAGATGTGAAATGGTGTACCTGGAACAGTGAACTGCTCCTGGGTTCCTGGGAGCTTCCTCCTGAGCTCCAGGCAGCGTGGTGTGCCCCTGTTTCCTTTAAACCCTTGATTTCCTTTGTTCATTTTTAAGCCTCCCAAATCAGAAAATACACTTTACTGTCTGTACACTCTGCAAAAAAAAAAAAAAAAAAAAGGCAGGCCAATACAACATAGACAAGTTGCTGGGTTACAGTCAAACAGTGCACAAAGTCATTCTGTCTCCCTGCACAGGAGCTGCTGGTTGGTGCTGTCATGCTACATGCTTGTCAGTCTCCTGCATTGCACTGCTGCCCTTTAGTTAGCTTGCCCAGCTGTTTACATTTTACCTTCAGCACACATTAACTTTGGCATTCTTTTAAAAATAAGCTTGAATAAATATAGCCTTGCTGCTGGGTTTTCTACTTCTGGCCTCCTTGGGGTGTTCCCAGGACCCACAAAAGTCAACAGCATTAAAGCTTTCCACTGATTTCACTGGAGCTTTAGATCTTTCTGCTGTGGCTAATTAATCTTGTTCATTAGTTACTCCCCAGGTCCCATTCCCTTTTCCTCATCACTTTGTGCTAGTGCACATTATTCTTGTCTTTTAAACATTTATTGTTGCTGTGCATGCCCTTCCTGTAATGTATTAAGATTAAATTCCCCCAGATATCTACCTTCCTTCTTTTGCCAATGCTTCAGAGACTGGGGAGTCAGAATGTGGCAGGTGCAATACAGGCCAATTAAAAAGCAAATTTGTGCTAACTGATGGGTAATCTTCAGTGGAAATCACAAGCGACATTATTGGATGCCTAGGGAAAATGTTCATTAGGCAAATCCTTCTACTGCTGGCACAACTCTGACACCTCTGCATGTTGTAGCTGTAAGTTTCCTATACTTTCCCCCTTGGAGTTTTTCCTGTTGCTCGCTGACCATTGTATATACTACTGTCTTCCTTTATTTCTAAACCGAAGGACAGAGGAAGTCAGGGGTAAAAGTGAATCAAGCCAACCATTAGTCTGCTTCTTGTTTACTTCCTTTTCTTAACTATGAGAAGTAAAAAAAAAAAAATCCCCAAACCCACACTTTTTATATTTCTACTTACTTAATAGATGTTATCGTTAGAATTATTCTTAATTATATTATTTGCAAAGCAGTGTCACCTATAATTTCTATCAGAATCTCAGTTCAGAATCAGAGTTCAATCTCTATCAGAATCTCTTCCTATGAGAGAAAAAGCAGCGCATTTTTAAAAATCACTGTTAGATTGAAAATCTTACAATCTATGTGTACAGGTCAAACAAAGGATGGAAGAGGAGGAGGAAAGGTGAAGTGAAACCAGGGACAAAAAGCAGCAGATGGGAATGTCCTCCATCCATGGCATTGCCAGTTAGGAGATGCTGCCTCCTTTTGGTTTGTTTTGCAGATATTTAAAAAAAAAATATGGATTCCCTTAAAGCCTATCCAAACCCCAGCACAGCCAGTAAGGCTCTTCCCACCAACACGGATGGGCTGTGATTCAGTTTCTAAAGAGGAAGGACATGCAGACTGGAGGAATTTGATGAGTCAGTATTTGCAGAAGATCCTTCTTTGCCCCACTCTGGGGTCAGACAGTTGCCAGTAACGCATAAGAGGTTACAGTGACCTGGAGCAACAGTGTGTGTAACACTGCATACTGCTGGGCTGTTACCATATCCTGTATGGAAGAGCGGAACTTCAGCTCCTTTAACTTGAGCAACTGAGATTGACCCCTCCCTGGTTGCAGAAATCTAGCTCTGCCAGTAACTGTGCAACACAGGCAACAACACCGAGCCCAGACTGCTACTATACCAGGAGATACATATATATATATATATATATATATATATATATATATATATATGGGTGGAATTCACATTCACCAACTGGCAATACAAGTCTGACACCAACTAAGCTTGTGATGTGCTCTATTTCACAGGTGAATCCATGGTCTGGTATTTCAATATATTAAACAATTACCATATATTTTATAGTTTTAGATGACATATCACATAATATATGGTATATGTATACAAATGATATATATTAACACAGAGTATATAGTTCAAGTATTTCTCTTCCCTCTTTACAATCCAACAGTTGGAATGTTATCCCAGACTTGTACCACATGAAAGTAAAATGTAATGGAATTTTGTGAGTCAAAATCCTTACTGAGCTTCAGTTTCCACTTACCACTTTCAAATATTGATCCAAGATTAAAGTACTTTTTTTATTTGCATTGTGTGATGTTCTTAAATGATATTTTCTGTTTTGTTACATCAAAGGACCATTAAGTCTGAATTCAGTTCACATAACACTAACTAACAATGCTGCTTCTGCAGACCTTGAGATCTTTTTTTTTTTTTTTTTTTTTTTTTTTAACAACCTTCACAGTGCTTCCAGGACTTAAGGTGATAAGCTTCGGATGCAGTTATTATTTCTAGCATTTGCTTTCTCGCTCAGTGGTTTATGAGTCCCTGTTTTTAGAACTGCAACAAGTATCTAAGTAATTTCCTTATAAGATTATAGGAGTGTGAGACTGTGTGTGCATGCATACATATGTTTGTTCAGAGGAAAATATTTAAGCATAAGTAATATACCTCTCCAGCATGGTGTAAAAACTCTATGCCCCAGGATATGAGCTATGATCGCAAAGCAAGAGCACTTAGCTTCCACTAAATATTTAAAAGAACATAACTCATCTGCTATTCCAAAGAGACAAAGAATTTGAGTAATGTTATACACCCTAAAGTGCTCTGCTGTCTACAAGCAGAAATAGCCACCCTGTGTCACTAAGGACAAAAGAAAAGCTAGACTTTGAGTTTGAGAACTATGGTACAGTCTGAATTTTTCAGCTCAGTAATAGCTATATACTCATCTTGTATATCTGGAGGAGTCCCTGTCAGTATGATATGGACTTTCTAAAAGAATAACTTTCAGGCCAGGATAGAAATTTCTGGTGTTTTTGTAATACAAAGAAAAAAATAAATATAATTCTTGCTAAACAATATTAATAAGATCAGCTGCAAACAAACCCAAGAAGCAGATGCTTGGACACAAATGCTGACACAATTTGGGAATTTTTGGATACCTTTTTGATAAAGCTATGTGAAAAGACATCTGATTGTCTGAACTCAGAAGTTTGAAACCATGCTTTTAGTTTTTTCTTAATTTTTATTCCATTTGGATGGCATAGGGAGCAGGTAGGCTAGTGTACTTCATGTGCCAAAAGAGTGCAAAACTTGCAAGGTAGGAAAAAAAGGTAGTCCTAGAAGGTTCAGTGCCATAGGCTGCCTAGAAGAAGGCAGTGCAAAGTTGTGTGATGATGCAGTAAGTTCATATGGGCCAGCAGACAGAACATATGATATGTCCTCTGATACAACTATTAGCTGTGCACAGTGCAGGTACTTCTATATTTTTGACCAAATATTTAAAAGATATTTAAATTATATACACGTTTAATTTTTTCTTCCCATCATCCTCCATACTGTATAATATCTTTATGTCATGGGATGTTTCACATTGGGGGAGGTTGAGGACCAGTTTCAGGGAACTTCAGTGCTATATTTTGCTTATCAGAGGTGAAGGAATTAATTCAAATTTGGAGAAATAGGAGTGTGTTTTCACTTTCTCCATCAAACCCTTCATTGCTTAGTGTAATGCCACCAAATGAGGGACTGTATCAATTGATATGAACCATAATACCTATGAATGTTCTAAATGATCAACTGTATGTTGCTCTTTAATGAACAGCTGAAAAATTTTCCACAAAGACACAACAGTCTGAGTAACTAAGATGTTGACAAGATATTTATTTCTGCTGCAGAAATATATTTCCAGTTATTTCAGCTATGTTACTGCAAGTTTACATCATTGGGATGGAGATCATGAACTTGGTCTATTGTCCCAGAAGCACAAGAGTGGAAAAGTTTCAAAGTGTGAAATTAAGAATTCACTTTTCAAGGACCATAAAAACTTGAACAGTATACTTCCAAAGCTCAAAGCCTGTTTTAAAATGGGCTAGCACACCGAGTAGTACTCAGAGGAAATCTCTCACTTGAGATGAGGAGGTATTGTACCATACACTGGATGGTGATTCTGGATGTCTTCTTGTGAAGTAGAAATGAAACGGCGCAAGGTTCCTTGCAATTTGACAAGCAAAAGGATGAGGAATAATCATGTGAACATGTTTAGGCATCTGTAATCCCTTAGTACATAGAATAAATCCCTTCCTGAGTTTCCTTTAGAGATACAGGTCACAAGCCTTCTGAAATACACCTCTCAACAGCACAGACTTTTTTCTGCTCTACATAGAGACAATCCTCAATTTACTGCAGCAAGACATTCATTTGGGAGAGCCTGGCAGAGCAGTTTTGCTAGTAACTTTACAGGTTACAAAGAAGGCCAGGAAAATTCAAACTCTTCTAAAACTAGATTTCCGGATGGGTATCAGAGAGAATCCCCTAAATTCTTTTTCAGGTGATCTTTAGGCCTGACAGTATTGACATTTCCAAAGGCAAAGTTACCAACACTTCTAACTTTCTCTCGCTTTATAGATGCAGAACTGGCTATGCTCCAATGTTAGAAGTAAACAAATCCAGCAGACTTTGCTACCCAGAGGATCTCCTTCCTGGGCTGATGCAGCAAATCGGGGGGGCTCCCAGCCCCAGGGAGAGAGCTCTGGGGAGAGGATGAGCATGTATTCCCAACCAACAAATGTATGTACATACTACCCACACAAACTCACAGGTCACTGCAGAAAAACCAGCACCCACAAGTTGCAGTCATGTGAATATGATCAAGACAGCCCACCCTTGACCCACTCTTTCCTGATCAGCACTGAAGTTTCACCAGCAGAGTATACAAACCCTCATTTTCTGGATTCACACCACAGTCAGCAATCCCTCAAGTGTGAGTGTGACTTCTAGTCCATCCAGCATCAGTCCATTACCCAGTTGCCAGCTCTTTCCTGGAAGCTCAAATAATGGGAGCTCTCCCGTTATTGGCAAGTTAGCCCAGCTTGGAGTACAATAACACACACCCCATCACCAACACACCCACCCCTTAGAAAAGAGACCATCCCAACAGAAGAAAGCATAGAATAGAGTCATAGAAGAGTTTGGGTTGGAAGGGATATTTAAAAATCGTTGTCCAACCCCCCCTGCAATGAGCAGGGACATCTTCAACTAGATCAGGTTGCTCAGAGCCTCATCCAGCCTGACCTTGAATGTTTCCAGGGATGGGGCATCTACCACCTCTCTGGGAAACCTGTTCCACTGTTTCACCATCCTCATTGTAAAAAAATTATTCCTTGGATCTGTAAGAGTCAGTCAGAAGATCAGCATCGTCTCAACATTTTAATCAGGGACATGGACAGTGAGGTACCTGACAACAGCCTGCTTGGCCTTGCTGAACGCTGGAGTGGAATGTGGTGCGATGGCTCCTGAATGCAGAGCTGTGTGGCACAGTGGGTGCTGTGCTGTTCTCCTGAGCACTGACCCATGTGGTACAGGCAGTGCTGGGCTTTCTTCGGTGCCTGAGCCATGCAGTATAAAAAGTACTGTGCTATTTTTCAGTACCTGGGCCCAGCCAGAGCTGTTAGGGATAATCACATAGCCACTGTCAAAAAAGATGGATCGCAACTGTTGCCATAACATCGATGAAGAAATCATGAACCTTAGACAAACTTTGCTTCATTATAATACCAAAACACCCCTCCTGGTGGAAGGCTACCTGCCTCCAAGACTGACCACGCCTTGGACACCCCTCCCTGTGCATGTGCAATAGCCTCACTTGAGAAGGGTGGAGACCCCTGAGGCAGAGGTGGAGCAAGGTGTGTTACTGAGTATAAAAGGATGACTTCTGGACAACAAAAATGGGAAGCTTCCCCACCAAAGACCACGACGATCGATGACACAGCATCAGCTGGACCCAGGACGCGAGGAAGTCATGAGATCAGCAGTGGTAGCTATAACCTGCAGGAGAGCTGAGCATGCACACGACCAATGTGACCAAGCAATGCCCATTTATTACAATGAAGAAAGCCCTTCTATAATCTCCCGCACACGTGAGTAACATGCAGTACAAGTCCTCAAGATTGGACAGTTAACTTAGCCCGTGCTTTAAACCTTCTTATGATTGGATAAAAAGTGCCACATCAGCCTTGCCAGGCTTCCTGCCTTGTGGAACTTCCTCTTCCATCCCAACCCCTTCCGGGGGTTGTTTGTCTCACTGAGTTTCTCCCCCCTCAGTCAGGGTCACATCCTTATCGCATTCTTGCTTGGCTGAGGCTCTTATCAGTCTTGTTCTTACACAGGATTGCTCACATGGCCATTCTCTTACACAAAGTCCTCTAGAATCCCAACAATAACCTCTCTCTCTCTCCTGTAAAACTTAAATTTACTTTTTTCCTGTCTTTCGCTCATCTCTAACTATTGTGTGCTGCTTCATGGGCAACACAATAAATTTTCACTGTTTTATTACTGCTATCCCCTTTGGTGTTGGTCACCTTAATTTTGCACTTTTGAGATCATAGCAAACAAACCATCATGAGTCCACCAAGTGGACCATTACAGTATCTAATCTAAACCTACTCTCTTTCAGTTTAAAACCATTAGTCCTTGTCCTATTGCTATAGGACCTACTAAAAAGTCTGTCCCCATCTTTCTTATAAGCCCCTTTTAAGTATTGAAAGGCCACCTTTCTCCCCAGACCATTCTCTTCTCCAGGCTGAACAACCCCAACTCTCAGTCTGTCTTCATAAGGGAGGTGCTCCAAAGCCCTGATCATCTTCATGGCTTTCTCTGAGCCTGTCTGAGCAAGTCCATGCCTTATGGTGGGTGCCCAAGATCGGGACTCGGTACTGCAGGTGAGGTCTCATGAGAACAGAGTAGAAGGGGAGAATCCCCTCCCTCAACCTGCTGGCCAGGCTTCTTCTGATGTAGCCCAGGATATGGTTGGCTTTCTGGGCTGTGATTGCACACATTACTGGATCATGTTGGGCTTCTCATCAACCCCAAGACTTTCTCCGCAGAGCTGCTCTTAATCCCTTCATTTCTATACTCCAACCTACGTGCAGGACCTTCCACTTGGCCTTGTTGAACCTCATGAAGTTCACATAGGCCCGCTTCTCAAGCTTGTCCAGGTTCCTCTGGATGGCATTCTGTCCCTCAGGCGTCAACAGCACCACTCAGCTTGATGTCATCTGCAAATTGCTGAGGGTGAACTCGACCCCACTGTCTATGTTACTGATGAAGCTATTAAGCAGTACTGGTCCCAGTACAGACCCTGGGGACACCACTTGTCACTCATCTTCATCTGGACATTGAGCCATCGACCACTAGTCTCTAGTGTTCTACAGTTCTCTAGTCTCTAGTGTTTTACAGGTGTTATAGTTGATGTATTAAAACATCCATTGTAAGCACATACTTAAAACTGTGACTGTGAAAGTAATCAGCAATGTATGTAAACTTTTTAAATGGATTTAAGGGGTTACGCTAAAAAGCCCTACTCTGGGACAAAGACTTATGCTATTTGTTTTGACATACTGTGTCTCTGTAATAAGAAGCCTATGTTCATTTTCCAGATGTATTTTACATAATCACCTACACCCATGAGAGAGCATGGAGAGCCATGGTACCCCCCGTACAATACTTATTGTATGTATTTTACTGACTCATCACTTTTTAGTGGTCTGTTGTATTAAAAAAATCTTTTGGCACAAAGTAGCATCTTGCCTACTAAATTGGTTTCAATCTAAACATCCAAATTGTAATTTTAAGCTAAACCTGAAGAAAATCTGAAATATACATTATTATATATATATTATCTGTAGTGATGATCCGTAGAAAATCTTAGGAAAAACAATGTCTCGAGTTCTGATCTCTTCACACCTAAATTATTACATTTCATCATTTTCCTCTCTCGCTATGTTGTTCCTAAGGTTTGGGGCATCTCAGTATTTCTTTTCTATTTGAGCTATAAGGCAAAAGGAAATAAATAGCATCTTTTACAATCACACAATGTCAATACACATGCCAGATTAATAGCTCTGGAGAATGATGATCTCTGATACTATCAAGGAGAAAGAATAGTGTCTACAGGAAAAATAATAATAACAAAATGTATTCTTTGCCTTTCTTCATGTTTCTCAACTCCTTGTTGCTTCACTGGATGAGGAGGGATGAACCTGTGAAGAAGATGGCAAGGTTGAATGATTTGAATAACTGAATAGTTTACAGAGGATAGATGCCATCTAATTATGTTTGACAATGTTTAGCCATTATTTTCTCTACAAGTGCATTGTAATTCCACATAGAAATGATTGCTTATATCAGGATAAACTTGGTTTTGATGTGTCTGTAGGAACGAAGTTGTGTTTCTCAAAAATGATTTTAAACCAAGGACACGGATCATAATTTTTGTTCCTGAATAATAATTTGTCCTGCTTTTAAATCTTCTGGAGGAGGACACTGCTCACACTATCCCATTATATTACAGAGCATCCTATAACAAGCTGTCATGTGGTCGTTTCTTCTTTTATTAGCCAGGCTGCTATTTTAGTGTCAATCTGTCCTTTGTGTATAATGACATTAAATACCTTGGATAAAACTTTGGTATTAAAAAGAAAAAAAGAGTCACCTAAAATATCAAACTTTTATAAGGAGAAGGAAGCAAGGGATTTAAATGAAGCCTGGCAAACCAAGTTGTTATACACTGCTGAAAAAACCCTTCTGGCTGAAAACCTCAATGATAGGTAATTATATTTCTAAATGAGACAATCATTATTAAGCTATGAAAAATATAATTAATTTTATAACATTCTGTAATGTTGTAGTCAATACAGATAATAGACTCTTAGAGATATTAGCTGTCCAAACACATTCAACTAATTTAAAGAATCTCATTGTGCATTCTCTTAACTGAAGTCAACAGTAATAAGGTCCTTCTGTGTCACTCCAATAAACTCAGTCAATAGCTGAGTTTTGCTGAAATGAATTAACTGAGTTTAAAGAAATTAGTGTAGCTTTAGTTCACAGACATTCAACCAGTTTCTAACTTAATTTCATAAGGGTTTCTATTTGCAAGCATGGCACACTTTAATATACTGTGGACCAGATTTGTCTTTTCTATAATCACACTGATTCCAGCTAAAGATTTAACAGCCATATATGGAGAGGGGAAAAAAAAAAAAAGTGCTAAACAAAACAAAAATCTTAGAAACAATTACTCTTTCAGATTACTGACTATCACAGTCACTATCTTGTATTTTACCAGGGACAACAGAGGATGCTGCAGAGGAAAATTCATGATGTGAATAGCAAATGTGTGGAAAAAGTTTAGAAGTCAAAATTGCTCTTAAAATCTCAGTGAGCAAAGCTCTAAGATCCTAAAAAAGCTTTTGCATGTACATGTAGTCTTCTGCTTGTAAAAGATTGATTCTGGCTACAAGATTAGTCTATAACTACGATATCTGAAGAATATAGAGAAGATCATAGCTCAAATGAGAGGCAACCAGCTTTCCTCTTTATAGTAAAGCTGAGGTCTGCTTAGAGCTATCCAGACAGAAACCTTTGAAAGTAATATACTGTTTGGAGAGAGACCAAGAAGTGACAGATGGCGCCATGTCCCCATTCCTCACTTCGTAACTTATACTTCACAGACTATTATTTTCTCAATTTTTAACACCACTGAAAAGCAGAACTCTGTCCCACATCTGAATATTTTAGGGTGGACAGCATGATATTCAGTAAGAAAAAGCAATTCTTGGTGTGGCCCACAACTAATCATGAAAGAATTTTTCACCTGCAAAAGAACTTTGTTATTATTGAGAATAAAATGTGAAAATTTTAAGTGAGATGTTGAAATAATTCAGAAGAGAGATGGTGGTGGTGGTTTGTCACATAGTCCATGTGGAAGAGAGTGATGATGATGTAAAGGTGAATCTCTATAGATCCCTTTCACTATATCACCTGCTGGCATCTGTTTTCAGAGACATATCTCTTAATACTCCTTAAACTCAACATGTTAACATCCCCTCTCACAGCAATGACTGCCACTAGAGGAAGAAGGTGTATTTGACCTCCTCTATTCAATAGCTTGAAGAGCAATGAAAAGAAATTACTCAAAATTACCATATGTTACAAGGTGTTGAATACCAAGCAGAGACCTGCTTTTTGAATGGCTGAGCAGTTACTGATGGAACACTGAGACCTTTCAAATTTGACTAGTGCATTTGCTATGGCTATATCCATATGTCACTATAAATAAGATAGGAACCCTCTGGCAGGGGCCACCTTTGGGTGTTTTTATGACATTAAAAAATATAGTGCACCTGAAGAGAGTGGACTTTAGTATCACGTCTATATGGGAGCACAAATGTGTCATCATGACATAACCAGATGGATAGGACCAAAATGCCCACACTGTTGATCCCCCAAGACAGTCTTTTTGGTGCCAGGATAAATGCCATCTATGTGCATTTGAAAGCAGCCCTTGATGGAAAGGTGTGTAAAAATGATTTTACCGGGTTACCCAGCTTGGTGTATGGCTGTTGACAGAAATTTAAATATGCTGGAGCTTGCAAGCAGAAAGAAGATGTTGCATTATGTCTGAGCTTATGAAGAAAAGAAAAAAACCCTAGTTAGGCCCAAAAAAAACCCTCAAAAAATTAAATTGCTGAGTTGTGAAATTCTCTGTGGGGAAAACTCAATCAGGAGGTCCAGTCTTCCCAAAACCACCATGTAAGTAAAGCAGACAAGCATCCAAAAAGCTACCTCTTTTCTCTAGCTTTTGAAATGTGCTTGTGTGATTTTATCAATGGTGCTGTGACCAGAGTCTGGTGGAAGTACAGCAAAGGATGTACAATCCTGGAGCATAGCACTAATTTAAGAAAAAAGAAAGCCCTATCTAGCAATAGGCGGAAAGAAACAAGATTTTTATTTTTTCCTTCCTTTCTCTGCTCCCTGAAGTTAAG